TGTCATTGTTATGAGTGGATTTCCAATTGAATACTGCATTTTAATGACATAAATTTACAATATTAGTGACAATTTTAGGAAAAATTGGCGGCCATTTTGAAACTGCTGGCAACCCCCCTTACGTATGAAAAAAAAAAAATGTTGCACATGCTTTTTCGAATTATCTATGTCTACTCTACATCATATCCAATTATAGCAAAAAAAAAATGCAACCTCTGATATTGCTACATTTCGGATTGGACTAGTAGTTAAGAATAAAAGCGAAAGCTCGGCGCTGCACTTCTTCGATGAGCATAAGGTTAGTTTTTGTTGAACCGCTCGATACGGAGCTTGCATACTCTAGGTCACTACGTATAAGAGATGTGAAAAGTGGTTTAGTGACATACACTGGTGCGTTTTAACAAATCGCACGCTTAATTAGGCCGAGCTTTCGATTAAATTTCTTTACCGCCCTGCTGACATGATTGTCCCATTTGAGATATGTCGAGATGTCGACTCCAAGTTCCCTAATTACACTAGCCCTGCCAAGTCTCAGGCCATTCGTGCAGTAAGAAAACTTAACAGGTTTCCCAGATCTACTTATTAAATAATTAGTATTTAATTTAATAATTAATTAATTTAGTAATAAATTTACAATTCCATTTAGAATATAAATAATTCTTGTCAGCTGTTTTATTACCTTGTGATGTTCCGTATGTGTGGTCATACTCAGGACCAGTACGAAATGAAGGTGTTGACCCAGCTCTTCTTATCCAATCAAAATCATCATATTTATCTTGTACAAAGTAACAAATGTAGGGATCTTCGAAATCACATTGGTGTTGCACTAAAATAAATACAAGAATAAAATAATTGACATTGGCTGTAAAATCATGTTGAACAATGGAAAACCAAAGTGCAATATAACCCGTCACTTTGGTAGGAGAAGCATTTATAAGTTCTTCTACCGGCAATATTAAGATGTTTCCAAATTGCTGTTATATATCTGCAGAATTCCTATGTACATTTTTCAATAATACAAACAAAAAATCATCTGCTTTTCAAATTGCTCTTGCACAAACTCGAACGGCATTCACAACCTAGGTCCAGGCCCGTAGGCAGGATTTTCGATGGGGAGGTGCGTTTTGCAACCGACGTGGACCTTACGATGGGCAACTGCCTAGGGATCCCCGCGAGGTGGGGTCAACCTTCTGGAAGGTCTGACAAATTAGCATTTTGAGGGCTTTTTTAATGGATTTCTAAATTCCATCATTTTTAATATCCTATTTAAATTGTTATTCATTTAAATATTGTCTAGGGACCTACAGTAAAGCAGGAGGTATAGAGGGTGGGGTGAAGGGAGGAACTTGCACAGAAAGATGGTCAATAGCACCTCAGCCTCACGATGGTTGGGGATGAGGTAAGAAAATTTATGATTATGGCACCTCCAAATGGCCTGAAATGGCACTCTCCGACAAACTTTAATTATGATTTTTCTTTTTTCTCCTTTTCTTTTAAATAATTTTAGGGGGCTCTCCCCCGTTGAATCCGCCAATGTGAAATTGTAATTTGTTTATGTTCTTTACATATGTAGGCCTACAGATGACATGGATCAATCTGCAATCACTGGAACTGGTAATTTCCAACAGATTTCGTAGTAAATTATTAAAAATCAACGGGTAGAAGAGCGGGCAAAAAATTTAATGCATACTATAGCATTTCGCGATAATTAGGAACGATTTTAGTGAAATAATAGGCTTTAAAAAGTAGACTTTTTAAAATTTGGTGGTCCAGGGACAGAGGCCTGAAGGTGGTTTGTAAGAAAAGCGACAAAGTAGCATTTTGAGGGTCTTACATAATAGATATCTCAAACACATAATTCATAATTATTTCATTTAAATTTTCATTAATTTGGGTGTTTTTGCTACCTGAAAAAGTAACGTTATTATGTCCTGTAGATTTGCAGGCCTATAGATAACATTTTTCATATTATATAGATCAATCTGCAATCACCGGAGACGATCAATTTCTAACAAATTTCATACCACATGATTAAAAATCAACGGTTAGATACGCTAGCAAATATATAATGCAATGCATGCTATAGCATTTTGTGATAATTAGGAGCGATTTTGTGAAATCATAGGTTTTAAAATGTGCACCTTTTGGAACATGTACTACGGGCCTGTTAGTTACAAATGTTAATGATTAACTACAAACACATTTTTGATTTGTACTTAAAATGTTATTATTGCATTACTTAATTAACTTTTTAAGAATTGCTTTATTGCTTTTGTAATTTATTATGCAAATCACACATCCTCCCTATGAGATATGTTGGTTGTCCCCGGATATATTAAACACAATCCTGGGCCAGGTGTTGAAAGGCCGTATGGTAAAAGTCCGAATATTGATTGGTGTTAGGACTCAAAAGGCCAAGACAAAAAGCCCGGTGGCAAAAAGGATATTAACATTTGTATTTTAGTGATTTTATGATGAAGGTGTATTTTACCGTTTCTCAAACATATTCCATCGGTGATCTTGACGTCATCTAAAGCAATGTCACTTGTATAACTACTTCCTACAATTCCTTCAAACACTATCTGGTAGGCACTTTTTGTTTCAACAAAGATTTTTCCAAGACGCCAAACATTTCCTTGGTCATTTCTTATTGTCCACACAGGCTTTCCAAAAGTACCTGCTGTATTTACTATGTATACACTCAATATGTTCACTGTGGCCCCGTACATGTGGTAGAACCACTCAACGCATGTGCCGTTCGTTGCAGGATATGACGTCGTCCAAAGGCGAGCGGTGTCGTTGAGATTTTGAGGTGACGTTTCGATGTACATATAGAAACCTGTAAATAATGAAAAAAATGTACTATTTCTAAGACATTGAAACCTGTCTCTTATACACATCTAGATGTGTATAAGAGACAGCCTCTAGCATGACACGCTTTCCAAATGCATAAAACCCAACAGCAAATACATAATAATATAAGTCGAAGAAAGAAAAGTTACATAGTTCTAGATAAAAGACAAAAACATTTTTGTAACCCAAGTGCAAGTGCTGACAGGGTCAAACTCGTTGACAAACAGAAGCTCATAAAATATGCGTAAGGCTCGCTTAAAATCAGATATTTTCGTGTTTGAACGTATGGGATGTGGGAGTTGGTTCCACATAGGAACAATACGATTGAAGTAAAATCTTCTGTAAGTTTCAGTTTTGCAACGTTTGTCAACGAGTTTGAGATGGTCAGAATGACGAAGAGAACGTAAAGAGGCGAGGAATTAATTAAAAACGAAAAAAAACCAAAAGATCAATTAAGTCCCTTCGAATGGAAAGAGGAAGTAAATTAAGAAAAATAAGGCGTTCTCTATATAATAGTTGTAAGCAGGGTAGTTAAGAATAAATGCGAAAGCTCGGCGCTGCACTCCTTGGATGAGCATGAGGTTAGATTTTGTTGAACCGCTCCATACGGAGCTCGCATATTCTAGGTCACTACGGATAAGAGAGGAGAAAAATGGTTTAGTGACATACACTGGTGCATTATAACCAATCGCATGCTTAATTAGGCCGAGCTTTCGATTACATTTCTTAACCGCCATGCTGACATGATTGTCCTATTTGAGATATGTCGAGATGTCAACAGCTTTCCCAGATATTCTAATTAAATAATTAGTTTTTAATATAATAATTAATTAATTTAGTAATAATTTTACAATTCCATTTAGAATATAAATAATTCTTGTCAGCTGTTTTATTACCTTGTGATGTTCCGTATGTGTGGTCATACTCAGGACCAGTACGAAATGAGGGTGTTGATCCAGATCTTCTTATCCAATCAAAATCATCATATTTATCTTGTACAAAGTAACAAATGTAGGGATCTTCGAAATCGCATTGGTTTTGTACTAAAATAAATACAAAAAGACTAAAATAATTGACATTGGTTTTCCATTGTTCATGCTTTTACAGCCAAAGTGCAATATAACCCGTCACTTTGGTAGGAAAAGCATCTACATGTTCCTCTACCGGCAATATTGAAATGTTTCCAAATTCCTATTATATATCTGCAGAATTCCTATGTACATTTTTCAATAATACAAACAAAAAATCACCTGCTTTTCAAATTGCTCTCGCACAAACTCGAACCGGCATTCACAACCTAGTTCCAGGCCCGTAGGCAGGATTTTCGATGGGGAGGTGCTTTTTGCAACCAAAGTGGACCTTACGTTGGGCGACTGCCTAGGGATCCCCGCGAGGGTGGGACGAATCTTCTGGAAGGTCTGTCAAATTAGCATTTTGAGGGCCTTTTTTTAATGGATTTCTAAAATCCTTAATTTGTAATATCCTACTTAAATTTTTATTCATTTGAGTATTGTCTAGGCACCTACAGTAAAGCAGGAGAAATAGAGGGTGGGGTGAAGGGAGGAACTTGCACAGAAAGATGGTCAATAGCACCTCAGCCCTACGATGGTTGGGGATGAGGTAAGAAAATTTATGATTATGGCACCTCAAAATGGCCTAAAAAATAGCACTCTCCGACAAACTTTAATTATGATTTTTCTTTTTTCTCCTTTTTAAAAAATAATTTTATGGGCTCTTCCCCCTTGAATCCACCACTGAGAAATTGTAATTTTTCATGTTCTTTACACCTGTAGGCCTACAGATGACATGGATCAATCTGCAATCATTGGAGCTGATAATTTTCAACAGATTTCGTAGCACATTATTAAAAATCAACGGGTAGAAGAGCGGGCAAAAAAATGTAATGCATACTATATAGCATTTCGCGATAATTAGGAACGATTAGTGGTCAGAAATAATAGGTTTTAAAAAATAGACTTTTTGAAATTTGGTGGTCCAGGGACAGAGGCCTGGAGGTGGTTTGTGAGAAAAGCGACAAAGTAGCATTTTGAGGGTCTTACTTAATAGATTATTCAAACACATAATTCATGAATATTTCATTTAAATTTTCATTATTTTGGGTGTTTTTGGGACCTGAAAAAGTAACCTTATTATGTCCTGTAGATCTGCAGCCTATAGATAACATTCTTCATATTATATGGATCAATCTGCAATCACCGGAGACGATCAATTTCTAACAAACTTCATACCACAGTAATAAAAAGCAACAGTTAGATACGCTAGCAAATATATAATGCAATGCATGCTATAGCACTTTCTGATAATTAGGAACGATTTTGTAAAATCATAGGTTTTAAAAAGTGCACCTATTGGAATATGGGGAGGGGGTGTTTCCGCACTCTCTGCACCCCCCCCCCCCGCCTACGGGCCTGCTAGTTCCAAATGTTAACGATCAACTACAAACACATTTTTGATTTGTTTAATAATTTATTATTGCATTACTTCGAGTGCATCTTGCATGCTATAGCACTTTCTGATAATTAGGAACGATTTTGTAAAAATAATTTATTATTGCATTACTTCGAGTGCAAAAAAAAATCTTTTTGCAAAACATAACTTAGTGACCCCAGACATTATAACCACAACTTAAGACATGATTTTTCCTGGGGTTTGTAGATAAGATGGGGTGGTTTGGCGCTGAGGGTTATGAGAACCCTTAAAAATATACTTCTACAAAAGAGATAGTGCAACAATTTTGATGGCTGTTTTGGATAGAACAGTATTTCAAATGGACAAAAATGTAATTTAAGACGCATAATTGCTTGGGGTTACTAATTAAGACGCCTACTAATTAACGACTAATTAACGATTTAATTAAAATTTCAAGTGCAACAAAAATTATTTTTGCAAAACATAATTTAGTTACCCCATACATCATATCCACAACTTAAGACATGTTTTTTCCTTGGAGTTTTTAGATAAGATGCTAACTGATTTAACACTCAGTTTACGGTTTGTTCACAATTTTAGAAAAAAAAACATCATAGATTACTTAATGCAATTAAGGTTCAGGCACACATGACATGAAATCCACAACTTGGCCTGCTTTCCTTGAGGCTTGCTGGCAAGAAACTTCCTCTTTAACATGTAGATGCTAGATAAGTGGATGATAAACCTACGTCCGGGGGATTCCCGGTTGGGGAAGCCTCTTTTTGAATCATTGAAACAGAGACAATGCATGTTGTATGCACATCATTCCTTCTCAAATAATTCGAAATTTTTGCATGATTTCATGAGTTTTGGGCGTACCATAGACCTAGATAACCCATCCCCAAGGTAGTGCGTTACTTCAATGGTACATTTACAGTACTGATGCAGGGTACATAGTTTCGAACGAAGCCGTTTAGATAGGCTATTGTGTACATGTAGTCCTCTGCTTTAATTAGTCAATATTGTAGTTTGTAATACAACAGTAGTCTTGCCATTTCCTTTTCTGGCAACCTGTGGAAGAGGCATAGCTGTCAAATAGTATGGTAGTTGGGGCCTAGCATTGTGAAGATGGATGCAGATTCTGCCCCGAAAACATCTGAATCACAGCAGTCGGGACATGGGCTTGATAATTCGGTTCAAGATGAAAGTGTGTCAAGTACACCCATGGATAATGCTGGAGATTCATCATCAGGTAAAAAAAGGAATCCGATTCCCTGAAATGATACGAAGGCCTACCTGTATCCAAAATTCTTTCTTAAAGAAGCCTTGACGGGTCGGTGGATATCATCAGTCCAAATGCACACCCAAGTCAGGAATGTAAGTAGGCCTAAGCACCAATAACCCAAAGCTACGTTTCATTGCCGAATGTAGTAATGTGGTGTGTCCCTTTTTATTTTCTAAGATGGCTTAGAATTTGGTAAAAATTCTAAGCCATCTCGATGTATCGTTCATGTCATGGAGAAAGAAAGTGGCCCCTTAATACGTGTGACCGACGACAGATGGGCAACAATTCTCAAATCAGCAGCTACTCGTAAACAAATGACAAGATACGAACAATCAAAATATCGACCTGTGGTCGAAAGTCTCCCTTCAGCAACCACTGCGCTGGATGGGTATCATCGACGGTGCTATAGTGACTTTACTGCCATCCAAGTCAAGAGTGTTGATGAGCAACCAACTTCCTGTAGTAAAGACTTAAGATCATCAACAAAGTCACCAGTGACTCATGAATGACAAAGAACAATCTCGCTTAGGTATTTTTGAGAACAAGTGTCTTTATTGTGACAAACAATGAAAAAACTCTAAATGATGGTACCAAGGAAGGTTTAGGGTCTGTAGAAACGAAAGATGCTTAAAATAAAATTTGTGAAGCTGCTAAGCTGTTGGGAGGTTCAGTTCTGGTAAAGGTTTCTGGTATTGATTTGATTGCCAAGGAAGTAAAGTTTCACCATTCTTGTAGAAAAAAGGCATTGGCTTCTGCATCTCGGGTAAAAAGAAGTGGGCAAAAAAGCTGTATGCCTGAAAGTCAGATAGCTGCAAAGCAGGCAGTCACACAAATCATTGATTACATCAAATTGCATGTTATCCAAGACTCACGACCAGAGCGTTTGAAGTCAGTATTTGATCGGTACTGTTTGTTATGTGAGGTAGCAGAAGAAGAACCCACCACCAGTAGTTTGGGGAAATACTCAAAAAGCGTTTCCAAAACGAGGTGGAAATTTCTGCTCCTAGTGCAAAGAAGCAAGGTTCGATTATTCATTCCGCCTTGATTACAAGTCAATCAAAGTGGTTTATGATTTCCAATCATCTGATGAAGGTCAACTCGTAAAATCCGCCTTACTCTTGCGCAAACATCTGAAAAATGTTGAAAAAATCCCATGCAGCGACCCCTTGGATCTCGAGTCACTCATGCGTGGCGAGGGTGAAGCACCAGAGTTGGTACATCTCTTTTTCCGTGTCCTCTTTGGTGGAAGAAATCGAACCTCTGAGTCTGTAAAACGGCGTGCTACAACAGCAAGCAAAGACGCATTGTTCATTGTTCACAATGGGCAGTTTCTGCCAAAAAGCATATTGTGCTTGGTAGTCTGGTGCATTCAATTTTCAGAGAGCCGTAAATTGATGACGGTTCTGAATCGCCTTGGCCATTGCATTGTCTATTCAAAGTACGAGGAACTAGAAACTGAGCTTGCAACAACCATCCAAAGCATACCGATGTTTTCTCCAAGTGGTGCGATGCGTGGTCCCGTCATGGGAAATGCATTTGATAACTATGATGAGCTGGTTCATACGTTATCAGGCTTTGAGAGCCTACATGATACCATGGGTATATTCTACCAGAACGTTGACCCACATGCCACTGAAATTGATGCTGAGCAACCAACCATGTCTTCTAAAGCTGAAACCATGTTGCCCACATTCAGAAAGTTTTGCCAGCAGAAGTCGCTCCGTATCGTCAAGGATGGATCAGTTTGAATATCCCAATACAGAGTATAGCAAGCTCCCTGACACTTCTTGTCGTGCACGAAAGCTAGACACATTATTCCTCGTGAGCCATATCCTCAATTCCGAAACTGTGCCAATGTGGGGTGGATTTAACGCACGCCTTCATCAAGACAGATTGCCGAAACAGGTTGTACACTATATGCCAAACCTGAACCAACCCATCACAAAAGATGCTGTTGTTACAGACACCATGCGCACAGCTCTGAAGTGTGCCAAGGAATGTGGCCAGGAGTATGGCCTGGTCACGTGCGATCTAGATGTCGCAAAGACTGCACACAGAATCCAAGTAACCAGTCGGCCAGAATTCGACAATCTCTTCGTTATGTTTGGAGCATTCCACATTCTCATGTGCTACTTCAGAGCCATCGGAAAGGTTATCGCAGAATTAGGTGGTCCAGCAATGCTGATGGACTCAGGCGTATTAGCACCAGGATCTCTGAGAGGGTTCATCGAATGCTTAAGCTATAATCGCTGTAAACGGCTTCACCCAATGTTAGCCCTTGCGTTCGAGACATTACTTTTTCGCCAGTTCATGAAGGACGATGAGAAC